AATAGCATTGCATAAAGTGGTGGGAAATTTAAAGTAAGCCATCGGATAAGTCGGGACCGCGAGAGCCATGGCTTTGATAAGAACTTCTCTCCCCGCCATTAACAAGTGAAAGGCCTTCCAACCCTTAATCTTCTTCGAAATCGTTTTTCTGATGTAACCTAACGCTTTTCTTTTCGACTTTCCCCAAATAGATGGCAATCCCAAGTACACTCCCGGGTCGTTCATAACCGGAATTCTTAGAATTGCACACATTTCTGTCTTGGCATCTACCGAAGTGTTGTTACTAAAGTAGACAGAGGATTTATCATAATTGATTTGTTGCCTCGAAGCAACGCAATAATCATAAAAAATCTTCATTATATTGTGACAATTCTCCACAGTGGCACGAATGAAGAAAAGTGAGTCGTCGGTGAAAAAGATATGTGATAGCATGGGGCCACCTTTACTAATAGTCATCCCCTACACAAAATTCACATTAGTAGCATAACATATGTTTTGTGAAAGCACTTCGCTCACCAAGAGGAAGAGGTAGGGAAATAATGGATCCCCTTGCCTTAATCCCCTTAATGGGTTGAAAAACTTCCCCGGCTTCCCATTGATCAACACCGACAAAGAAGTAGCTCTAACACAACTCATCACCAACGCCACGCAAGAAATATCAAACCCCATTCTCAACATAGTCTCCTCCAAAAAGTCCCACTCCACCCTATCATAAGCTTTATTCATGTCTAATTTCAAAGCCAACTCACACCTCTTTCCTTTTTTCTTGAGTTTCAAGTAGTGGTAAGCTTCATGGGCTACAAAAAGATTGTCATGGATTTGACGGCTAGGTACAAAAGCATTTTGGTGGTAGGATATAATATTTGGTAGGATGGTTTTGAGGCGATTGGAAAGAATTTTCGATAAAATCTTGTAAGAGTTGTTGCAAAGGCTAATAGGTCTGAATTGGCTTCTATTTTCAAGGTCAAGGACTTTCGGAATGAGGGCAATATAGGTTTTGTTGAGTTGGTGTAGATATAACAAACCATCCATAAATTCCTTGGTTGTCCCCACTATCACATCATTAACAATATCCCAAAATTTGTGGTAAAACAGCCCTAGAAAACCATCAGGCCAAGGGTCTTCAAGGAGCCAAGTTGAAAAGCAGGATCTTCAACTTCCTCAACAGAAATGGGTCTGCATAGATCCTCATTCATCTCATAAGTAATAGTTGGTTGTATGCAGTCAAAGACATTCCCTCAATCTCTACTCCCTGACAATTTAAAAAGGTCCTCATAGAAGTTCTCAAAAGCAAGACGGATATCACGTTCATTTTCAATCCAAATCCCATTTCCTCCATCAATTTTGACTATCCTAATCGACCTTCTTCGTTGGAGAGTAGATAGGTGGAAAAATCTAGTGTTAGCATCACCGTCCTTAAGCCAGTAATCCTCGACCTTTGTTTCCAATAAAGCTCCTCTCGCTGCCATAAATCTTGCAATTGAGCCTTAACCTCCAATTCTTTTTTCAAATGAGGGGAAGATGAGCACTGAATTCCCTCCAAATCTTTAAGCAAAACATCAATCTTGCATTTATTATTGGGAAAATTCACCTTACTCCAAGTGATCAACCTCTTTTTGCAAAAGTACAGACCGGACATCCATTTATTCAAGTACGTGGTGCCGATACCTTCCTACCAACCCAATTCCACCACCGATTTGCACTTAGGATCCTTTGTCCACATGGCTTCTAGCTTGAATTGTTTTTGAGCTTTGGAAAAAGAGGGGGGGATTATCAAACAAAACAAGATTGTGATTGGAAGCAATACAAGGACAATGGATAACCCGAGAAGCAGGCCACAAATCCAACCACTTATCATTCATAAGACATCGGTCAAGTCTCTCCTGCAAAACAATCATATCATTTTCCTTCCTCACCCAAGTAAACCGAGGTCCCTTGAATTCCACATTGAACAACCCATTTGCATCAACGAAATTGCAAAGGTACCTCACTCTTGTGTTGCACCAAAGGGAACCACCCTCCGTTTCATGAGAGCACAACAATTCATTAAGATCTCCCATGCAAACCCACGTGCAATCCATGTTAGCATGGAGATTCCTAATAGCATCCCAAAATGCTTGCTTCTTGTTCTGATATGGAGGACCATACATCAACGAGAGATGACAACCATCCCCCAAAGAATCACACCATAAAAAGGTATCAATCAAGTTCTTTGTCGCTGACAAAATTTGGACCTTGAGTTTGGGCCTCCACCACACACTTAATCTACCCGCCGAGCCTTCCGGGTCAACATTGTAACCTTTGGAGTAGCAAAACTGTCTCCTCAATCGATTCATTCTATAAGTGCCTTGTTTAGTTTCCATTAAAAACACTATAGAGGGATTATGAGAGCGAATCAACTCCCTAAGATTTTGGACTGTCAAAGGATTTCCTAACCCTTGATATTCCAAAAAAGTTGTATCATTAGGGCCGTGTGGATGCAATAGGCCAGCCACCACAACCATAATTGTGTGTCTCTTACTTTCCCGGATTCCTCATTCTTCAATCAACATTCTTGAGGTGTTGGGAGATAATTGCTTTTGGAGTAGCAATATCCATCCTTTTTACTTGGGTAGGTTCCATGTTTCTCACCCCCTTTACTTGGAATTTCTTTGCCATGGGACATAGTGGACTTCTGACTAAACCAGTGCTAGCTCTACTAGCCTTATTAGGATTACAATTATTGCCAGAAGTCCCTAACTCCAACAAACAGATTTTTCTCCTTTTAAATGGGCTTTGGTGAAGTTGGCCATGTTGGCTTGTGTTAGGCTTCATTTGAGTGGGCTTCATAGGGATCACCGGATGTATCGTAATTGGGAAAAGTGTTTGGGGGCCAAATTGGAGGTTAGAAAAGGTGTGGCTAGGGTTGTCTGGCAATTCAAATAAAGCATTGGAAATATGAGTCTGGGTTAGGCTGGAAAACCGAAGTAGGCCCCTTGACGGCAACAACCCGTAGATGATCCCCATATACCAATCCATCATGAATCACTGCAGGGTAGAGTGAATGTTGACAAGGTTTATCCTTTAGATTAGTGTGCCTCAGGTGGCCACATCGATAACAGAATTTCTTCAAACCCTTATATTTGAATCTTGCCCATGTACGCTCACCATTTTTCCTGGGTAACCAGAATCCCATCAACAATGGATTTCTAGCGCAAATTTCAACTCTTAATCTTAGAAATCCCCTGTTACCGGTGAGAGCGGGATCCTCAACTCTGATAACCATTCCAATCTTTTCCCCAATAGTTCTAGCACAAGACACTGTGAGAATGCCCAATGGGAGACCATAGATTTGTATCCAAAATGTAGCATAGTTCGGGGTTATCTCTTCGAGTGTACATTCCTTCGGCCATGCTTGTATCACAAACACATCGTCGTTTACAAACCATGGGCCCTTTTCGATTAACTTCCTGGATATCTCTTCCGAATTAACCATTATGACATAAACATTGGGACTCGCCCATGCTATCTTCACATCGGCGGAGTGAACAATGTGTTTCCATCTCTTGGGAGGGCATGCTTCATGCCACTGGCAAGAGGCTCCCTATCCGAGATGAGGAAGCCAACAAGTCTATAACCATTGCAGACATCACTGTTATTTAAATTTTCCTCCAGAAAAATTGTGAGCTGTTCAGTCAACAACCCATCCTCGTCGAAGATCGGCATCAATTAAGAGTCACAAGAAAAGGGTACCTACCTAGTAGTAAACTATGGTTGAAGGAAAGTAATATTTTTAATTAAAATGGTTGGAAGAGCCATTGCTTAAATTAGGGACATTAGCATGTTTTTTCCTTTCCACGCAAGATTCAAGTTTGTTCGGACAGAGGCCACTCAGCTTTACACTATGAAGACTAGTCTTGAGTGTACAGTGCATGCTCCATTTAATTATTTCACTATTCTAAAAATCCGCTTAGGCAGTGCTTAAGCGCTAAGCAGTGGAAGATCGATGCAAGTTAGGCCAAAATGTAAGGAAAAATTGGTTAGGGGCTAGGTGGTTCAGGGTTTACGGTTCCATTTTTTTTTCCTTAAGTTAAATGGTTTTCTGGGTAACCTACCCTAAAAGAACCCATATTATTTCTCTTGCCGTTTCATGTTTCTCTTCTCCTTATCTATCCTCACATAAGTGTTCTTTCTCTCTCCTCCGCACACGTCGACTCTGACTCTATATGTGCTGTCTCTCGTAGTTGTCATTGCCTAGAAGCGTCATCACCTGGGCTCATTTTGCAACCTGCTTAGACTTTGCGGGTAGGTTTTCAATGGCAATGCCATGATGGCTTAAGGTTTAACTTTTTTAAATTATCAATACAAGTATAGTTTTTTTTAGAGTGCAAGTAGGCACCTATATATATGCTATAAATAATTAAATGTGCTTAGTCTACCTAGGTCATAATAACTGATATAACAGAAATATAGTTAGAAGGGTATTATTGTAATTGGAATATATGGCTATATAAGGGATTGTATAGCTAGTATTTCATGAAGTTCATTTTGTATACATTTTATCCATTCAATCAATACAATCTTTCTAGTTTTCTCTCTATCATCTTTCTTTTCCCTTGTACCAACTTTATATTTTGCAATGTAGTTAACATGGTATCAGAGCCACCAGGCTCACGCCATGGATTCTGGTGGTTTCTCTTCTTCGTAGTAGTTACAATTTTCTTTTCCCCTAGTTTAGCTTCTCTTCAAATTTCTATTAGATTTTTGGTGCTTCCGCAATTGTTCTTGAGTTGTTTTTTGTCCGATTGTTGGGATCGTGATTGTTGCCAAGTCTTGAAATAATTCTCTCTTCTTGGAGAGTTCAATGAGCGCGTTTTCACGAAGTTGGGGGTTGCTGAGTTCGAGTACCAACTGCTTCGCCGACGCCATGTTTGGGCTGGGATCCGTTAGCACTGGGGTTAGAACCGATCAGGCTTCCAAACGGTGCTCTCATCTCCACAAACTAGCAGAGACTCACCATTTCACAACAGGAAGTCGTCAAGTAACCATCTGCCGTTGTCCTCCGAGCCTTCATTCTTGTAGCAGAAGGTTCTCTTTAGTCCAATGGGCGAAGGGTTTCCGTCTGTCCCATTAACCCATGTGGCAACTGCCTTGCCAATATTCCAAGTACCTCCGCTTCCAATCTTTCGATCAATGTGGGAACCCATGGGGTTTAATTTCTTGAGTTCGGAGAAGAAATACAAGGCTTGATCGGCGCGCTGAGCTCCTCCTTCATAGGCTTCCCATATCTCAGAGGGTTCGGATCTGTTGCCAAAGAGATTGCACTCGTGTATGATGGTGTTGTATGGCGGCAGCAGTAGCGGCTGTCTGTCCATCAGAAAGTTGCGGAGGAAGCAATGGATGAGTTCTTGATCGGTGGGTTTGAAGTGGAAACCACACGGTACAAGGGAATGATTGTCCATTAACACGAGAGAGAGAGAGAGAGAGAAAGGGATAGTGAAGAAGACAAGTAAGTCGCCATTGGAGACGACAAAGATGAAATCTTGAAGAATGAAAGTGGGTCAAGGTTGAAGTTCTTATCAGGTTCTTGATTTCTGGTTTTCACAGTGCATATAACCTGTTTGATTAAATGTTTCAGTAAGAGAATGTTCACTATGTGATAGGAGCATATTTAGGCGACTTACTTAGCTTGTTTTCGTGCATCTATGTTGTTAATTCATAGTTGTTTTAGTAGTTTAAGCCATTTTCGTGTGTTTTTAGGTTCATATGGTTAAGGAAGCAAAAAGATGCATTTTGGAGCATTTTGGAGCAAAATTGGGCTTGGAATGGATAGCATATGCTTGGAGCCAAAGTGTTGGACGAATTTGAAAGCCTTGTATGCACTTTGGACATAAAACAAAGGGCCTAGCCCAATCAAACAATCCTTTGAGCCATGCAAAACCTCTAGCCCAATCAACAACCCTTAGCCACATGCATTCACATGCATCACAACCCCAAAACCATCATTGCACCACCATTCACACACACATGCACTTATTCTTTCATCATTACACCACCATTCACACACACATGCACTTACTCTTTCACACACACATGCACTTACTCTTTCATCATTGCACCACCATTCACACACACATGCACTTACTCTTTCATCATTGCACCACCAATTCAACACATGCATTCACACACCAACAACCTAGCTCTTTTTCCATCATTATTTCATCCACATGCACTCTCAATCATAACAACCACATTCACTCTTAAACAATCACCCACATATTCTCCCATTCCCCCTATAAATACCCTTGCATTCATTCATTCAAGCATCATCTCATTTCATACACAACACACCACAAACACTTCCATTACTTCTCTTTACCGTGAGTCCCCTTAGAATCCAAAACCATCTTTCCATTTCCATCACTCCTCACTCCATTCCACACTTCCATTCCCCCAAACCAACTATCCTTAGACCTTATGCTACAATAAAGAGGAAGAGAAGAGGGCCTAAACGTTCATACAATTCAAGTTTGAGTTGTTGGAATGTTTAGGTGTTTCTTTGATTTCAATGTTTAAATTCAATTCTCTTTGTTTGTACGTATGAGGAATGGAAGAGAAGAGTGCCTAAACATTCATACAATTCAAGTTTGAGTTGTTGGAATGTTTAGGTGTTTCTTTGATTTCAAAGTTATAATAAACTAAACCCCCTTTAGCTAGGGGGTGATTCGAAATATATGTTTATGCTTGCATTTTGATTTGATTACTTCTAATTGCGTTTCATAAGTTGTGGTTCAATTTGTTTAACCGTTTGATTGATAACTTATTTATGTATGTTTATTGAGAGTGTACACTTAATTTTCATGCATGAATATGACGCTAGAATATAAGTGAGTTTCACCTAATAGTTACGAACTTATATTCACAAGTAGTGGAGGTTGCTTATAAACAATCGCGTTAAATGAATTCTTGGCATAAGTTTCATGCGTATTCCATAGTAACGAATGCCTCGTCAACACTTAAAGTTTTCATGATGCTTAATGATCTTTGATTGTATCTTTATTGTGCTTTTCACGTAAAGGACTTTTGGAGAATGTTGTGAATTGCGTTGCGCTAACCCATCCAATTCATTAACTTAAGGAAAACTTGACGGTTAATTTAAGCGGACCTAATTGACCCGGGGCGTTGAGAATTAATGATTTGTTGAAATGCAATTGGAAATCGTTTTATTATGCAAGTATAACATATGTGGAGATGAACCCCGTAGCTAACTTTCCATCCATTCAATTCCATCCATTTGTTCTTTCTTTTCTTGTTTCTGTTTTCATGTTTAATTTAACTTGTTATTCAATTATGTTAAACATGTGAAACTAATTTCTTTTTAGTTAGAAGCGAATTTGAAGCCATGGACATATGTTGGTTATGATTTGATTTACTCCAGTTATGAATTCATGAACTTTAGATGTGGGTTACTTTCCTGTTTTGATTAAGAACTTGTTTATGTATGTGGGTTGAGGGTCGACACTTAATTTGCATGCCTAAAACTTGATGCTAGGATATAAGGGAATTTCACCTAATCGTTATGAACTTATATTCATGAGTAGTAAAAATCACTAGTCACGATTGTGTTTAGTAAACCCTAGGCTGGATTAACATGCGTATCCCATAGTTATGAATGCCTAGTCGATGTTTATGATTTCCGTTGAACTTAATGATCTTTGTTGAATGTCTCTATCATGCGTATTCCATGTGAGAGACTTTGATTAGGAATAATTTGGTTGTAATGCGTATCCCATTCAATCCAATGAATCTAGGGAAATCTGAAGGTTAATTTAAGCGGACCTAATTAACTTGGAGCATTGTCATTCATCGTTTGTTGAAGTCAGAACTGGGAGTCAAATTATATGCTTATGTTCATGTGTGGATAAGGAACCCTCTAACTAGTTTTTCATCATTCTATTTTATCAATTTCGTTTTTATAATCTGTTTTAATTAGAATCTGTGCATTTAGTTTAAATTCATCCAAAACCAATCCCCCATTTATTTTAAAAGTGTTAGATTAGTTAGAAATACATTCATATTGTTATTTTACGTTTTTGAGTCAAATCCAAGTGATTAACAATCCCTCCTAATCCCCGGTCCAGAACGATCCCTACTTATACATATACTACAATTTGACGAAAAGAGGGTTTAATTTGTGTGCGTATAATTCTCGCATCACTATGTTGTTCATCTTTCTTGTGAATCTTCTCTGGGATCAGTATTTGTGATATTTGGGGTATTTGGATTCAAGAATATTGGTCATTGCTGGATTGTGCAATGTGTATGGTGTCTAGTTCTTTCTCTCTCACTGATATGCTGCAATTTTATGGGATTTGATTTTTCTGCAAATCTTGATATGTTTGGTGAAATGGGCGGTGACACATTGTTAGTAGAATGCTGCATGTTGACTTCATCATAAAACTGGGGTGAACGGTCAGAAGGTGGTCTAGGACTGGTAACTGCAGCATCGCTTGGTGTTCGTGCGAGTAGGATTGCTGGTTGTATCTTTAGGGTGTTCATTGTAGAATTACTCAACAAATTTTGCAGTATCCGATTCTTGTCTCTCTACTTCACTAATTTTCTGCAACTCTGTTAGGAGTTTTGTGCAGTAATTTTCCCTTATCTCAGCCTATAATGTCAAGTCTAACCAGCTCAGTTGTTAGCATGAATCTACAGTAAGTCCGGTTATTCGATGAAGTTAGAAGAAGTTGTTAATGGTAAATCCCACGAAGGGTAATCCCATGTTTTGAGTAGGTAAATCCCACGAAGGGTAATCCTACATAGATATTGATTTTCAGTTGTTGAAATTGTTGAAATTGTGAAGGCCGATGCCATTGTTCAAAGAAGTTGTTTTTGGTAAAATCCACAAAGGGCGATCCCGTGGTGCTATAGTTCAGGCCGATGCCGCACTATAGTTTGTTAATTTTCTGTTTTTTTGTAAATATTAAAGGCCGAAGCCAAGTTGAATGAGATTGTTGACGGTAAATCCCACGAAGGGTAAACCCGCGAGAAATTGTTATAACCGGCATGAGGGTGTGCTACAACTCCTTTGTGAAGATCCTGTGAGAGGCAGAGGAATGTTGGTTTTTTGGATGGAGAGATTGTATCTGCAATATGTTTGTTTGAAAGGATGATACAAGGTTCAGTTTGGTCGTCTTCTTCCACAAGTTCTGATAACAGGAATCATCACCATGATGCTCGCAAGGAGAATGAGTATAAGAAAGGATTAAGGCCAATCCTCTGGCTTTCCCCAAGCTTTCCATTACAAATCGAGGAACTGTTGCCATTCCTTGATATTTTAGCAAACAAGGTTAAGGCAATTCGTCGTTTGAGGGAGCTGCTTACAACTAAGCTTCCAATGGGTACATTTCCAGTCAAGGTTGCTATCCCAGTGGTTCCTACTATCAGAGTAATTGTCACCTTCACAAAGCTTGAAGACTTACCACCAATGGATGAGTTTGTAATTCAAGATGCACGTCACCAGTTTGCAGCAAATCCAAGGTTCCAAAAAGGGTCCAGTCACAGTGCCTTAGTGTCAACAACTCCAGATCAGTCTCAAATACCTGGCTAGCTCAAACTTCACTTGGATACTCCAAGTTTAGTTTGAAGGGGGGGTAATAACTGATATAACAGAAATATAGTTAGAAGGGTATTATTGTAATTGGAATATATGGCTATATAAGGGATTGTATAGCTAGTATTTCATGAAGTTCATTTTGTATACATTTTATCCATTCAATCAATACAATCTTTCTAGTTTTCTCTCTATCATCTTTCTTTTCCCTTGTACCAACTTTATATTTTGCAATGTAGTTAACAGGTCATACCCCGATGCTTGATTAATGCCTAGTTTTTTTTCAGAACCTTAAATTATTTATATATTTATTATGAAAAATGGAGAATTTCATTAATAGATCAAGGTAAGGGCCGATCTATAAAGAAACTTGGGTGGTTCCAGGACCACCTAAAAGCCGGTAAAAGATCCTTTGAAAGACCTTCAAGGACCTCTAGATTCTTTTATAAGGTAGTAGTGGACAAGTTGTTGGGACCTCTTTGATTCCACAATTGTGCAAAGGCTGATCTACAGAGAAGCTGCAACGATGGTGGTGACGCCTTGTAACCATGGTTGTTTGTTGCAGATTTGCAGAGAAGCTTGGAAGAATATAAGACACGCTGCCCTAATTTTTTCAACAAAAAAACTGTGTTTTGCTTAAGTAAAATGTTGCGTTTTATTCAATGCACTCACTAAAATGTAAGATGAAATAAAAAGAAAACCCATATACTGCAATATTTCAAGAAAGGAGCTTACTTCATCGGTTTTTAGTTCTTTTTCCACCACAAACTCTCTCATACACCCAGCTAAGTGATGAAATTGAAGTTCTATCATAAAACCAATTGACCATATGGGGAGTAGCCCAAGATC